TTGTTGGGATTAATTAGCTTTCAATACAGAGTGATGCAAAATCTCTAGGGTTGGGCTTAGTGGTAGTGACAAGATTTGGGAAGGAAGAGGGGCCAAATTTGTTGACACTTAAATTAAATTTGTGTTTAAAATATTATTTTCTCTAGTATGTTTTAGTTGTGTTAATTTGATTTTTATATAAAGCTTAATTTGATGATATTTATTTAACAAATAGATAACAATTGAAAACTTTTTTTTTCCCAAACATAGTGCCTATTGAATATTTTTACTTAGATAAAAAAAATCAGTTGTCATTTATTTGTTTATATAAAATTATTAAGTTAATTAATATAAAATTAATGAAATTTGTAAACTAAAAAAGACCAAAAGGAGTAACATATAATTGTAAAGCTGTAAACTTATATTTAAAATCACATTTGGCCATATACAATATGAAATATATTGTTCTTCAAAATTTTTGGTAGTTAGTGAATAGTTATTTAGTTGTATATGTGAGAAAAAATATATAATAAAACTCATCTAAAAGATGTAATAAATTTAGAAATATATTAAAAAATTATACAACAAATGATAAAATAAAATAAAATAATTTGATTTAATAAAAAAAGTTTGAGGTAGAAGTGAAATTAAAAAAATATAGATATTAGTAACTAAAATAAATATTTTAAGATAATTTTAGGCACTAGAAAAGTAATGATGTACGGTTTTTTTTTTTTTTTTCAAAAAATGGCAGATAATTGTTACAAGTTCAAAGATTTTATAGTAAATAGATTAGTCTTAAAGAGGTAATGATTATTATGTCAATATTCTATTTTAAATTTAATGAAAAAATTTACAAAAAAAAAAAGTAATGATAATTATTTTCATAAATATTAAGAATAATTAAGTGAATAAGATAAAATTTAAGAATAAAATTTCCAAACTAACAAATTTAAGGAGTTACTTATAAATTTTTCAAAAGACCAAGGAGGGCTATGCCCCTAGTCTCAACATGGCTCCACCACTAATTGAATCTATTAGTAAGCAAATGTCATCTTCTAGATCAAGTTTATTGGTTAAAGTATGCATTTAACTCCTCATCTTCATAAATTTAAAGTTTTTAACCCCTTACATTATAAAACTTTTAGCCCCTAAATTAATAAAATTCATTGACTCTCGATGAAAGTGAGAATAAAATATTTATATGATCAATCCTCAAAAATTAAAAATATAACAATTTATTTTTAAAAGTTTAAAATTAAGAAAAATAGTAAATTAAAAATAATTAGTAGATGACTTTACCACATACATGAGAACAATATTAGATATCTATAATCAAATTGAGTGATTTGTAATACCCCAAAATTTTGTGCTATTTTAGCATTTAAGTAAGGGTTTTTGTGTGAGAAAATATTGTTTTGGGCTTAATAGCCAAAAGTTTGAAAGTTGAGGGACTTAAAAGAGGGAAAGATTTTGGATAAGGATGACTTCTTTTCTTTTTCTCCTTTTTCTTTCTTTCTCTTCTTCCTCCTCCAGCCCGCGTGTTCTGCTCTTCTCCTTCCCGCTGCAGCCACCCCAAAGAAAAAGAAAGGGAACCCAGCCAGCCTTTGAGAAACTAGTGAGAAAGCTTGATGATTTTCCCTTCTTTTCTTGTTCTAGAACCTGATTTGGAACCCAGAAATCTCCCCCCTGCAGGAAGCTTTCGGATCTGCTCTGCTCTTCCCTCTGCTGTCCGCCGGCTGCTGCTGCTAGGCCCGAAATTCTGGGCATTTTTCTGGTAAGAGCAGCCCCTAATTCCTTTGTTCTTGCTTGAATTGGCTTGGTTAACTTTGATTGCTCTTATTTCCTTTAATTTTGGGGTAAAACCCGTGAGTTCCCTGCAGGATTTCTTCTTCCATGCCGCCGGCTCTTCCCCCCTGCAGCTTCGGTTTTTGCTTGCAAATTCTGGTATGTTGACAGCCATTTAAGGCTTAAATTATCCATTTTGTTTGCTGCCTTGTGTGTCCATGAATTGCTAGAGAATTGGGGATAATTCCGGTAGCAATTAAGAGGGATTTAAGTGTGTTTTGTTGCTTAATTCAAGTGAGATTATATGATTGAGTGTTAATTGCTTGTTGTGATTTTTGGAGAGAAAATCCCGTGAGATTAGTTAGTGTTTTGGCCAAATTGTGGAAGTGGAGTTACTGTTCACGTCGGGGTCACTGTTCACCGGTACTGTCACCGGTACTGTTCACACCCCGAGAGTCGACAATTAACGGGGGTTTAAATGATTAGTTTGTGATATAAGAACGAATTTGGAGATATTTGATCATGTGGAGATTTATGGAAATAGCTTTGTGATTAGGAATGATCCTAATGATGATTTCAGCTTGAATTTGTGATAGTCCGGTATTAATTCTGAGGTGTTTTGATTAGGTTCCCGATCGTTCTGTCAGTTAGTGCGTGAATTGAATGCTCGGTTTATGCGAGTGAGGTAAGTAAATTTATGGTAATGCCCGTACTGTTTTTAAAAGCATGTTTTGATTTGTTTTTGAAGTGGTGGTGGGACTAAACTCGTTTTACACAAGTATGACTGATTTGAAGTGAAATGTTTTATGTTTTTCATTAAATTGAGCATGCCTACTTGAAATTTAAATGACTGTCCTGATGATCTGAAAGTGATTGTGAATTGTGATTTTCCTGTTAACTTCAGCCTGTTTTGTCTCCGATATGGTCATGTTATTCATGTGCCCGCTAGTGGGAGGTTTATAAACGCTAGCACATGTCGACATGTTACTGATAGAACCGGTTCGTTTCTGCAACCCTACTAGTGGGGGTTAAACACTAGTAATTTCTGTAGCCCGCCAGTGGGAGGTTTATAACACTGGCCGTGACCTATAGAGGAGACATCTATTTCGTGCCCGTACTGTATCTGTTTTCGTGATTGTACTTGTTGGCATGCTTTAAGTTTGATAAGGGGCACTCCATATTTACTTACTGAGTTTATCTCATAGTTTTTCCTTGTCCACCATTTCAGGAAATGAAACCGAGGACGGGGAAACCACGGGAAGTGACGAGTTAGATGGCTAGCCATTTCGAGATTGATATAGATTCTAGAAATCATGATCTTGTAAGCTAGAGTGTATTGGAGATTTATGATATCAGAGAGATTTTATAAAATTGATCTTCAGATTTTGGTGGTATCAGAGTGTGATGTGATAAGTTCCGAGCCTTGTGCACTTGTGGGACCCGTCTCACGAGTGCACGGCGTCTGTCGCGTCCCCGGATTTGGGTTCTGGGGCGTGACATGATTAGTTCAATTTAAGGAAAGAAATCTAACTTAGATGAAAGAAAATTTCTTGACTGCATTCATTTAGTTTCTTGGACTTTTTATCTTAACTCAATTAAGAATTTTCTTTAATCTCAGTCAAAAAATTTTCTTCAAATTGACCAAAGTGCTTGATTTATTATGGATATCTAATACTATTCTAATACATATGAGAAAGTTATCAATTAATTTCTTTTTTAGTTTACTAATTTTTAAAATTTTTAAACTTTTAGAATTAAATTATTACATTTTTAATCTTTAAGGATTTATCCCGTAAATATTTTATCCTTACTTTAATGGAAAGTTAGCAGATTTCATTAGTTTATGGATTAGAAACTTCAAACTTAATAAGATAAGGTGCCAAACACATATTTTAACCGAGTTTATGGTGCAAGTCTTAATGCCAAATGTGCCTTTTAATATTAGGCCAAACCCCCTATTTGCACCCTCTATTTGTATTATTTTCACAGTCAACACCTTACAATATTTTTCCTCCCTATTCACATTCTCCACTTTTTCAAATCCGTCAAAAACCCAATATTTTAACTGGCTGTAATGGAAACATTAATAACCATTAAAAATTGTAATATATGGCACCAAACAGTAACATGAACGTTATATCACCTTATTAATCCAACATGGACTTTTTTTATGACATGGCATTTCTTCATCTTTTTCTTTCCCCCTCATCCTTATCCCCCTCATCCTTCGCATCATCTTCACCATCCTCCATCTTCACCATCCTCTTCTTCTCTTCTCAATGGGTTCCCCGTGAGGAACCTAGATCTAGGTTCCTCGTGGGGAACCGAGATTCTGGGTTTCGACCTTTTTTTTTCATTTTTTTATTTGAATGTATTTATCTTAGTTTCCTATTTTATGCAAAGCAATTTGGAATAAATTTTTTGTTGGAAAGGTGAGTTTTTTTGCTTGGAGATTATTTCTGAACAAGTTTCCAATTTGAGTTCAAGTGGGATTAACATGAATGGCAATAACAGTTTTTTCATTTTTTGTGGGAAAAGGGTGGGAGATGCATATCATGTTTTTGTGTAGTATTCATTACTTATAATTGTGTGGATGAAGATCTTAGCTTGGTAGGCATTCATGTGAAATTGGGTTCCAAAAGGAACTCAAAACCTGGGTTTTGCGAGGAACCCAAGAGGATGAGGATGAGGATGAGGATGAGGATGGTGAAGATGATGCTAAGAAAGAAGAAAATGAAGAAATTAAAATTAATTATAATTTAATTATAACACATTATAAAAAAAAAAGTCCACATTGGATTAATAAATGTGACATAACGTCTTGGGTTCTTAGTTCCACAAGGAACCTAGGAGGATGAGAAGGAAGATGGTAAAGATATGTCGAGAAATAAGAAAATGAAGAAATTAAAATTAATTATGATTTAATTATGCCACATCATCAAAAAAAGTCCACATTAGATTAATAAGGTGACATAACGTTTATGTTACTATTTGGTGCCACATATTACAATTTTTAACAATTATTAACGTTTCCGTTATGGCCAATTAAAATATTGGGTTTTTGACGGATTTGAAAAAGTGGAGGGTGTGAATAGGGAGGAAAAATATTGTAAGGTGTTGACTGTGAAAATAAAATAAATGGAGGGTGCAAATAGGGGGTTTTGCCTTAATATTATTTGAAGAAAAATTAATATTGATGTACAGAAAAACGTACTTAAGGATACTTAGCTTCCTAAACAAAAAGTTAGTGCTTCTAAAGCATCTTCTAGAACTCATTTTGCGGTAAAGAATACTAAATTTTTGCAATATAGTTTCAACAAAGGTGGATCTTAAGCCTAACAATCTACATTCTTTCCATTACCTTCTTCCAAGGTTTAAAAGAAGAATCACAAGGAAATGCTTTCTTGCTTTTCCGTAAAAGCAAGTGGCACACCTAAATCATAACTAAGGATTTTCTTTTCTACTTTTTGAATGCTCCAAAAGTTTTGGGCTAGCTTCGCTCTGGGGTTTTCACTTGGCAAAAACCTTTCTTAAGCCCCCAAACTTACCTCAAAATAACATTTAAGCCCCTAAGCAAATAAGCACTCCAACTCTACTAACGATGTCAAAAAGTCCTTCTCCCAAATGGGCTAAACAATATTTCATGTTTAATATCACATTAAAAGCATGAATACCCATGAATGAAAAGGGTTTATTTGCATCATTAGTGGAGTTGAAGAGCTTATTTGGTTCGTTTTAATTCAAGGGCTTAGATGATAATTTGGGTTTAGTTTGGGGGCTGAAAAAGGGTTTTTGTTGTGTAGGGTGCATGTCAAGTCCTAGAACTTGTGTCCGATCTCGTCCCAAATTGCAACAAGTTAAAAAAAAAAAAAAGGGAGAAAGAAAGAAAAATTTGTGTTTGGCTAACAAGGTTCAAAGTTGCATTCTCAAAGCTTGGGTTCCAACTCGCAAGTGCTCTCCTTGGCAATGTTCAAATTCTATTTTTTCTTTTTTTTTTTGAACATTTGTTCAAATTCTACTTTAATCATTACATCAATATGATTGTTGGGACAATTATTGTTTTCTTGGTGGATCTCAATTTTCAATTGAATCTTTTTTCTTGTTAAGAACAATCCTTAATAAAACAAAAATAATAATAATAATAATAATAATAATTAATGGGTTTAATATCATCTTGAAAGCATGAACACCCTGAAAGAGAAGGGTTTATTTGCATTATTAGTAGAGTTAAAAGACTAATTTACTTCATTTTTAGTTTAAGAGCTTAAATACTATTTTGGGGTAAGTTTGGGGACTTAAGAAGGGTTTTAGCTTT